TTTGGGTGCGTGAACTCGTCCACCAGGGAGACCTTCTCCACCAGGTCCCCTCCGATGGAGCGCACCAGCTCGTAGAAGTCATTCGCCATGAAGCTCTCTCGCCCCTCCTCACTCTCTCTGCTGTCCGGCAGCCAGAAGGAGATGTCGTTGTGGAGGGGGGGGTACTTACTGAGGGGCTGCGAAAACACAAACACAGGACATTTAGACATCTGAAACACACGTGGGCACATAAAAGCAGCTAATGCAGCTGAAAGAAGATAAAAACCAGGGCAGCACATCTTGATATTATTTCAATTTAACGGGTGTGTAATCCCCTGCGACCCTGTATGCAGGATAAGAGGCTGACGATGGATGGATGGATGGATGGATGGATGGATGGATGGATGGGTGTGTAATCTAACGGACCATCAGCAATGTTTTACCCCATGTTTTAATTAAGATGCCTTTTAATTGTTTGATTTTTACAATAATCACTGTGTCAGTCTTTTTTGAGACATGCTATTTATATTTAATTACATTTTATTTTAATTCTTTGTGTTGATTTTCATTTGTCCATGTTCTAAATTTAATTAATTTAGTGTTTTCTGTTAGCTTTGCCATACTTTCAGGTGTGTACTGTTTATACTCTGACAAGTATGTGCAGGGCTTCAGCCACCATTAAAGGGTAACTTCGGTATTTTGATTTTATGTTTTGTCACTGACAGGCTCAGCTTGTCATTACAACGTTTTTTTTAAAGAGTTAGATCCTTTTTGTTTAACCAGAAACAGCCACTAGATCGTTCTCGTCAAAGCCACCAGACTCCCCTAATGAAAACAGTAATTTAACCTCACAGGAAATGGAAGTTGCTGATCTGCCGCTGCCTCGGTCAGCTAGTTAGTTTGTCTTGTTGAGTGACTTTGTTGTTTTTGTTTGTGTTATTGTCTGACTTAGAGTTCAAAACACCAAAGTCACACAATAACAACAAACGAGCTGCTCGGGGCAGCAGTAGACCAGAGAGGTAAAATTACTACTTTTATCAAGGGAGTCTGGTAGCTTTGAGTAAGATTGTGCTTTCAGCATTTTCAGCAAAAATAACTTTATCTTTTATAATTTATTTACACATTGTGAGATATTCCATCTTATATCATTCATTATGATATAAACATGTTTATGCAACTGACTGACGTATGAAAGTAAGAAAAGTTAAATAACTTATAAGTATTTCTACAATCCCTGCTATGGCCCTGTTTAAGGCCAATTTATACTTCTGCGTTCAATCTACGGTATGCCCTACGCCGCAGCCACACGCACACCTCCGCAAAAAAGTCACTACACGTCGCAGCGACGCAGACTGCAAGAACTGTGATTGGTCAGCTTGGTGGCGTCACGTTTGGTCTGTGCATTTCTGGGGTTGACCTTCTTCTTCTGCCTCAACCGGTTCAAGGGTCGTACGTCTGCGACGCCTTCTCTCGTTTCTGAGTGTTAGTAAATTCAATAAAACTAACTCAGCTCCAACTCCAACACGATCCACTCAGTTTCAGTCGCTCTACACCAACGAAGAAGAGGAGACTCAACACAACTCGCGTTTTAACTGCAGAGCGACGCACAAGTATAAACGTCCACGACGGCACGGCAGGTAGGTAGGTGGTGATTTGCTTGGTTAGGTAAGTAGACGTAATAGTAGACAGTAGATCCAGTAACATTGTGTAGGAAGACATTGTTATTTTAACTTTACTGTTAAAATAGACAGGAAGGAGCAGGGGAAGGTGTGCAGACACTGTTCTCATTTGGCGTTTTTATAATTATTTAAAATGTACTGAAATAATTTGGCGAGTGAGGGAGGGGAGGTGGCAACACTATTACAGATCAGAGGCCCTTGTGTGTGTACAAACATGGACACACACAGATAAGCAGCCTGTTTCCTGTTTGGCCCCCGACGGTCACAGTTCATTACCTGTGGATCCGGGGGGGGGGGGCCGAAGGAGGGTTTAGAGGGAGAGGTGGACAGTCTGGGCCCAGGAGAGGTGCACTGACCCTGGGCAGGAGATGAGCCGTGCTCCCCCGGTCCCTCTGGAGGAGCCGAGTTCATCAATAAACACTAACGGGAGTGTGAGGTGGACAGCGGCAGGACAACCGGGTCTGTCCTCAGCAGGTTTGTTGAGTCACATAGACGTGTAGCTTCAAGAGTCGGTAAGTTGATGTGTAAATTCTTACAGTCTAAATAGTTATTATTAATTATTAGAGCAATCATAAAAGTCTACTCTGTCATCATTTAAAGTGTTATTTTTATCTTAATCATAGTCGTGTTACAGTTTGATGAGGTTATTGAAGAAAGATAGAATCAGTAATTCCCTCTGGTATTCCCTCCACTGCAGAGTCACTGTGGCAAGTAGTTTTTGGAAAAACAAGACAGAAAAACTGTTAAACTGCACCAGAGACAGATAAAAAGTCACGCTGACAGTAGCACAAAGAACAACAGAATCTAACAGTCCGTACGCACCATGGTGGAATTACGATGCTCAGAAAAACATGTTTATCTTTTGAAGTTTTAATGGTATCAAATTATGTATTATTATGTATGTATGTCTTTTAAAAGATACGATGTGACCTCCTGAAAGTTGTAATGGTGACTTACAGGATTAGAGCATTCAAAAAATATAAAAGCCATGTTGTTACGACAATTTATCATTTAAACCAGTTAAACTCTGGTAAGACAATGATTTAATAAAATTTGACTAACAAGCCATGTTTGCATCTAATTGTCATCTGAATTTTAAGTGTACTTTTGAAATGTCGCTAAAAAAAATAAATAAATACAAAGCAAAGACATTGTGAAATCTGTGCGTTTCCATCAGCTGGTTCGGAGCGAATAAACCAGGCTACGGCGAGCGTAGTTACGTCAGTAGATACACATGTCTGTAATAAACAAGAAGTCTGGGTTCCAAACCAGAAACAAAACCAGTCGCATAAACCTGAGGGCCACTGATCTTAGAAAAATGGAGAGAGGTCCTCAGGAATGTGTTTCAAGCGGGCAAATGCTGCACGTTATGGGAATATCCTGCGTTAGGCCGAGAACTGCATGCACCTCCAAATAACGCTTTTAAACGCTGTAATATCCTTTATGGGGTTCATCAATGGTGATAAATGATTTTATGAACGTTCAGAGTCGTTGTTATTTTATTACACTCAGTAGAAGTAGCATTCACTGAGAAGATATGCGGTGATAACTCTGTTTGATCAGTGTGCAGAGCAAAGGATCTGAAAACGACCTTTAAGAGGTGAATGCATAATTCAGTAGAACAGCTGATGAAGGCTACCTGCCCAGATCTGCATCCACCTCTTTTCTCAGCACAGATGAGCGTCACCAGCCGCGAGCTGCAAGAAATATTCAGCCGGCGTGCAGAACTCTGCACAACCGGGCAAGACGGCGACAGCAGAAACAGCCGATCAAGACGTGAGTTACAAGTTCGCTACGTCAGAACTTATTCAGAAAAAGTGTTTCCATCTTTGACTGTTTCCAGACAGGTTTTTGAACTAAAAGTTATTGACTATGTTTGGGGAGTGACGGAGAGAAGTTTTGGGTTTTTAACTGGCGTAGCCCCGAACTTTTCTTCAGTCAGCCGTAACGTGTTTAAGCGTCATGGAAGTGTTCGCTGTCACAGCAGAGAAATAAAAGTCCCTGTTCATGCTGCTGCAGCGTCCTCCTGAGTTGTGTGTAACTCACCACAGATAAATTACAAGCAGATTACAATCAAAGAACTGCAATGTACTTATTGAGGGTCACGTGTTACAAGTTGTCAAACGAGATGCGGTCAGTCAGCTTGTGATGAGAGTTTGAAGTGAAGTTATTTCTTTTACCAGGGAAGTTTTTCACTCGCATTTGCAGAGTGCTTATTTTGTTGTTATTATCTCCTTCCTGTTGTTTTTCTTTCCTTTCTCTAACATTCATTTAATCAGTTCTTTCTCCAACTCTTTCTCGCCCCCTCAATACGTTTAACACCTCCTCTTTCTTATTTTCCAAAACTTGCATGTTTGTTTTTGTCCTTTTTCTCTCATTCACCACCACATTTCATTTGTTTCCCTCTATTTCTTTAAATTTCCTACTTTTTCATATTTCTTTCTCCCATTAAGTTTTTACTGAATGACTTGTTCAAGGTATTTTTTCATCTGCTAAAAGGAAGTTTTTCTTGCATGTGTCAAAAACACGTTCTCATCTCAATGTGTCCTAACTGACGCTTTCAGACAGCGTGACAAAGCCCAAGTATTTTACGCTAAAGATACACTTTAGCATCCGTATGAAACGCCACAACATAAAGGCGGCTAACCCTACCCGCTAGCACATCGGCTGTGTAGGGTTAGCCGGTCAACATGCATAAAGTCACTGACTTAGGTTTAGGTTCTAACATTTCTGATGGTTGTGGTAAGGGTAGGGGCATCGGGGGGCTGTCAACACTTTTAACACAAACGTTAAAGCTAGCACTAGCTAGCTAGTACTTCCGGTCTGTACGAGACCCCCCGGTGCGTCTAAACCGGCTCTATATGAAAAATGCAATGACTTAACTTTTGTCATAAATTGGCGCTACATAAATAAAACTGAATTGAACCCGGCGCGGTCGTGCAGTGGTTAGAACTGTCGCCTCACAGCAAGAAGGTCGTGGGTTCAAACCCCGGTTGCCCCGGCCTTTCTGTGACCGTGTGGGTTCTCTCCGGCTTCCTCCCACCATCCAAAGACATGCAGGTGTGTTAATTGGTGTCAATGTGTGGCCCTGCAATGGATTGGCGACCTGTCCAGGGTGTACCCCGCCTTTCGGCCAATGGCAGCAGGGATTGGCTCAAGCCCCCCGCGACCCTGGTTGACGATGGATGGATGAACCAAAATACTTTCCTGCTTCCAGTGTTTGTCCTCACGTCCCGCCTCTGCAAGTTTATTTTGTTTCCATCTTTCTAACATACCTGTCCTGTTCCTCCTCTCGTTTATTCCTTCCCTATTTCCTCTCCTAATCCATTTCCAGCCACTACTCTGTCCTCCTCCTCCTCCACCTTCCTCACCTCTTTTCTTCTTCTCTGCCCTCCAACAGTCACTTGAAATGTTCTTCATTAGTGAAGACGAGAGCCGACAAAAAAGACCTTTAGCAGGGACACAGTAACCGCTGTGTTATAGAGTGTGTGTGTTTGTGTGTTAGTGTGTTAGTGTGTTAGTGTGTTAGAGTGTGTGTTTGTGTGTTAGTGTGTTAGTGTGTGTGTGTTTGTGTGTTAGAGTGTGTGTGTTTGTGTGTTAGTGTGTTAGTGTGTGTGTTTGTGTGTTAGTGTGTTAGAGTGTGTGTGTTTGTGTGTTAGTGTGTTAGTGTGTGTGTGTTTGTGTGTTAGAGTGTGTGTGTTTGTGTGTTAGTGTGTTAGTGTGTGTGTGTTTGTGTGTTAGAGTGTTAGTGTGTTAGAGTGTGTGTGTTTGTGTGTTAGTGTGTTAGTGTGTGTGTGTTTGTGTGTTAGAGTGTGTGTTTGTGTGTTAGTGTGTTAGTGTGTGTGTTTGTGTGTTAGTGTGTGTGTGTTTGTGTGTTAGAGTGTGTGTGTTTGTGTGTTAGTGTGTTAGTGTGTTGGTGTGTGTGTGTTTGTGTGTTAGAGTGTGTGTGTTTGTGTGTTAGTGTGTTAGTGTGTTTGTTAGAGTGTGTGTGTTTGTGTGTTAGAGTGTTAGAGTGTGTGTGTTTGTGTGTTAGTGTGTTAGTGTGTTTGTTAGAGTGTGTGTGTTTGTGTGTTAGAGTGTTAGAGTGTGTGTGTTTGTGTGTTAGAGTGTTAGAGTGTGTGTGTTTGTGTGTTAGAGTGTTAGAGTGTTAGAGTGTGTGTGTTTGTGTGTTAGAGTGTTAGAGTGTGTGTTTGTGTGTTAGAGTGTTAGAGTGTGTGTGTTTGTGTGTTAGAGTGTTAGAGTGTGTGTGTTTGTGTGTTAGTGTGTTAGTGTGTTTGTTAGAGTGTGTGTGTTTGTGTGTTAGAGTGTTAGAGTGTGTGTGTTTGTGTGTGTGTGTGTGTTTGTGTTATAGAGTGTGTGTGTTTGTGTGTTAGAGTGTTAGAGTGTGTGTGTTAGTGTGTGTGTTAGAGTGTGCGTGTTAGAGTGTTAGAGTGTGTGTGTTAGAGTGTGTGTGTTAGAGTGTGCGTGTTAGAGTGTTAGTGTGTGTGTGTTAGAGTGTGCGTGTTAGAGTGTTAGTGTGTGTGTGTTAGAGTGTGTGTGTTAGAGTGTGCGTGTTAGAGTGTTAGTGTGTGTGTGTTAGAGTGTGTGTTAGAGTGTGCGTGTTAGAGTGTTAGTGTGTGTGTGTTAGAGTGTGTGTGTGTTAGAGTGTGTGTGTTAGAGTGTGTGTGTTAGAGTGTGTGTGTGTGTTAGAGTGTGTGTGTTAGAGTGTGCGTGTTAGAGTGTTAGTGTGTGTGTTAGAGTGTGTGTGTTAGAGTGTGTGTGTTAGAGTGTTAGAGTGTGTGTGTTAGAGTGTGCGTGTTAGAATGTTAGTGTGTGTGTGTTAGAGTGTGTGTGTTAGAGTGTGTGTGTTAGAGTGTTAGAGTGTGTGTGTTAGAGTGTGTGTGTTAGAGTGTGTGTGTTAGAGTGTTAGAGTGTGTGTGTTAGAGTGTGTGTGTTAGAGTGTGTGTGTTAGAGTGTGTGTGTTAGAGTGTTAGAGTGTGTGTGTTAGAGTGTGTGTCTTAGAGTGTGTGTGTTAGAGTGTTAGAGTGTGTGTGTTAGAGTGTTAGAGTGTTAGTGTGTGTGTTAGAGTGTGTGTGTTAGAGTGTGTGTGTTAGAGTGTTAGTGTGTGTGTTAGAGTGTGTGTGTTAGAGTGTTAGAGTGTGTGTGTTAGAGTGTTAGAGTGTGTGTGTTAGAGTGTTAGTGTGTGTGTTAAGAGTGTGTGTGTGTGCGTTTTGATGATGGTGGGGTCAGGGGAAGTGACTGGTGCCAGCTGATGTGAGCACCCACTGTCAAAATGTTTTATACATGAGGCTAAGAGGCTAGGACACACACTCTAACACACACACACACACACACACTAACACACACACAGGTACCTTTGGATCCAAAGAGAGGGCAAACGGAGGAACAGGTGAGAACGAGGAGCTTACACACAGAGCAGAGCCTGAACAGCAGCTACAGTTTCCAGCTGATGAAGCTTCACGAGAACGTTCGGCTCCTGTAACTCGGACGGACAGTTTAAAACAAAAAGGATCAAACGCCGCGGCCTACATTACCCACAATGCAGCTCGATCGCTAACAGCTCAGTCAGAGTCGGGTGTGTCGTGCTAGTAGCGGCTAACGTAGCCTCCTCTCTAGCTCCACGTCCTCCTCCACGAGCTGAGTGTCGCCGCCGCATACGAATACGTTATCTGCAGCAAACCGGCTTATTACAGGTTACTGACTGCGGCTAAAGATGACATGACGGATGGTTACACACAAACACAGTGAGTGTGTGGGAGGCTGATGGAGGGAGATGGAGGCGTTTGAAGGCAGAGGTTACTGAGTGCAAATGTTCGGCTGAATCCTCAGTCAAGCAGAGAGACAAATGGACGAGTGAACACACGGAATAACAAACAGAAAGAAGAGAGAGAAGGAAAGGACAGAGAGTAATCCATCTATGTTCGTTTAAAGAAAGAATATTTATGCCATGCGTCATGATAGCAGGAGAGACAAACTGAAGAGGAACCTTTAGTTTCTAGTACAACGTTGAAGGAAAGAAGTGACTTTCAAAAAGTCAAAAAGTAAGCGGTTGTCTAAAAGCTCGTAAATATATATCCAACTTACTGATGAATTAAATGTTAGTGCAGAAAAAGAACAAGGATCCCTCGAATTATTAAACTTATGTTGTTGCTCACGAAGCAGCAAGTGTTCTATCTTGAGTGAAGTATTATCTTAAATTATCTTAAACTATTCGTCAACATGTTCTTTATAGAACCTGGCATTTGTACCTGGAAGCAGACGGGCTGCTGGACGTCCTGCACTCTGAACTGTTTGAGGAAGCGTTCGTCCCGACTCCAGAACAGCCGGATGTCTGGGATGCTGTACAGGACCATGGCCAGTCTCTCCAGGCCGAGACCGAAGGCCCAGCCCGCCTTGTTTCCGGCTCCCGCTGCAAAAAAACACACGACGTAACAAACTGTCAGCAAACATGCGAACATCTCAGCTCAGCTGTCTGGGTCAGTCTCCATGTTTCCGGCAGGTGTTTTCTGATAAAGCCACCGTACATGAGCTGCCCAGCAGCAGACACCCAGCTCGAGAGCAGCTGCTGAACATAGTGAAGCTCAGACAGACAGATACTTTTCTTGGTGGAGACCAAACCAGAGCTACAAGGAGAGTGAGATGATTGTTGCTCTGTGTCAAAGGCAGGTTCAAGTTAAAATGTTAACAATAACCGCTTTAAAAGGTGATAATATGTCAGCGGTGAGTGTTTGTCACAAGTAATGCAGCTTTAAATAAAGCTAACTGTTGCGAACCTAAAAGTATGAATTAAAGTCATGCAGAACAACGCGTTCTCACTCCCACGTCGTCACATATGGATGCATGGTCAAGACCCCTTGGCGTCAGTTTGTGGAGCCCCTTTGTGTCGTAGTTAATCGCACTGAGGGAAGTCCTGTTGTTTATGAAAGCTAAAGGCAGGTGTAGGATATTTAACACAAAAGTCTGAGTAGTGTCTGACGATGGGCCAGAAACCAGACTTTCAACCAGGGGACTGGTGTTCAATAACAAAAAAAAGTCAACAATGAAGTTTTTCAATTTAAGTTACGTAAGTCACGTTACTTTGCTTACATAAGTTATTAAGTAACGTTGTTATCTTAAGCCAATCCCTGATGTTTTCCTGAACCTAACCAAGTAGTTTTGGTGCCAAATTATGACATTTCACAATGTTTTAGAACATTAACAACATTAACTAGTTGTTAAGCTAGTTGTAAGCTGCATATTTCTTATTGCTAACTTGACCGCGGAGCCCTACACGATGAAAAATTACAACAAAGGGTACCCAGGGAGTTAAAAGGCGACGCCAAGGGGTTTGAGCAAGCGTCCATATGTGTGGAGTTGGGAGAGAGAATGTGTTAGTTAATTTCAGCCCGGTTTTGGTCCTTTACATTTATTCATTTTGCTGACGCTTTTATCCAAAGCGACTTACAATTGCTATTGATGTCAGAGGTGGCACGCCTCTGGAGCAAGTGTCTTACTCACGGACACAATGGTGGACGTGTCGCAGTGGGGAATTGAACCCGAGTCTCTCACACTACAATATTCTCTGGTGTTTGGTCCTGGTATGATATAATATTTACTACTGTTTCATTTCTAGTTTGGTCCATTTACAACTGTTTGTGACCCGTGATTGGTCCAATATTCTCTGGAATTTTAGTCCCTATTTAGTTTTAGCCTTGTTTGGTCAAGTATTCACCAGCGTTTAGACTCCAATACAATCTGGTGTTCTTTGCTACTTAGATGTCCAAAGCAATAAGGGAATCCCACTTGTCGAGTCAAAGTCCGGTATTATCTGGTGTTTTAGTCCTACCTTCCTCCTCATCCTCTACAGTGTTAGCCTGGTTTGAACCAACTATAACTTTTTTAGCCCAGGTTTTGTCTAGAGTATTAAAAAGCGACACCAAGCGGTCCTTATCAAACGTCCATATGTTTGCTATGCGTTAAGTAATTAATGCCGACAATTATTTTATCCCACGTTCACGCAGTTTTTTTTTATTATTATTATTTTGAAAGCCTGTTGCTCACTGGCTCTGGAAATACAGACACAGTCAAACCCTGGTTTGACATCGTCCCAATCCATTAGTGTTTATGCTGCTCGCTGATAAAAGATACCTGCTGATACCTGTTCAGAAAAAAAACACAAGCTAAATAAAAGGTAACGCCCTGGCAATAACAAATAGCTTTGGTTTAATATTTGATTTGATTACATTAATGTTTAATTTGAGATTTACAAGAAATATTTTATTGCTGCTGTGTAAAGGGAATACTGCTGGTAAAAAGCTCCTTATTTGTTTAAAGTGTTTGTAAATGTACATGTGGTTTGCAGAGAATTTAAATTAAAAGTGCACAATACACTACTTTAGAATAGATTATTAAATTTTGCACGTAACAATGCGATTAATCGCAAGAAAAGCACGTGATTAATCGTGATTGCCCAGCACTGACACAGTTAAAATCAGTGACACAAATAAAACTGTTTGGGGTAAATCTTGTTGTTGTGGACTTGTCGTTCCGACAGACGCCCTGCAGAGCTGCAGGTGTCGCAGCCCAACACAAACATGCAGACATCCACAAAGTGAAGCCAAACATAACCGACCACGTCTGCTTCAGATAATCTGCCATCAGCGTTGCAGCAGATTTTACTCGCTGGCAGTCTGAGAAAAACAACTAGGTGTGTGTGTGTGTGTGTGTGTGTGTGTGTGTCAGCAGGTACTGCTGCTGCTTCAGTGGACTCCTCTATATTATTCAACACTTCAACTTAATGCTGTCAATAAATCCATGCAACCTTAGCCTCCCACACACACACAGCTGACATTCTCGTATTATTTCCAATGTTTCTCCAGTTATTTGTTGAGACTTTATTGATCGCCCATGAGGGAAATTCGCCTCCGCTCTCCGTTCACTCAGTGTGTCAGCGAGTGCGATTCTCTAAAGGCAGCAAGACTGAAGTCTGCTGCTCAAGAGCACTGACGCAGGCCGGGCTGCTCGGGGTTTAGGTGGCGGCGTCTTGTGCATGAGGGGATCATCACAGGGAAGTTACTCATTATTTAAAGTCTGTTTCCATATTTGTTCGTTAAGCTCTTGTTGTGATTTTTCCTTTACAAATCTCTCCTGTGTGTTAATTTACTCTTATTTGCATTGCTACTCCTCTTAGGAAATATCTTCTCTTCACTTTCTAAAACCACTTTGAAGCACTAGAACTAGCAAAAAGTTTCCAATTTTCCAATATGGCGAGAACACAAATAAACTGAGACAACGGCGTCGTCGGCTTCAGACCTCCAGACGGGGACCGCAGCATGAAAGAACCTGCGAGTATATTGTACCTATGACGCTAAGGGGCTCCTAAGTGCGTTACAAACTGAATTTAAGACTATAATCTATAACAAGGGTGGTGATGGCACAATGGATAAGACGCCTGCCTTTGGTGTGAGAGACACGGGTTCAGTCCCCCACTGTGACCCATGAACAAGTAAGTCGCTTTGGATAAATGAACTAATCTAACAAAACTGAGTCCAGGTCAGTCTCTGCATGCAATGAGGTAAAACATACATTGAAATTCCTTCAACATTTCAATAATCTTTCAGTATAAAACACAGTCTGCAATATTGTCAGTTTAAGTCGGTCCCAATCCTTCGGAGGGCTCCAGCTTCACTTTGAGTCATCAATCATTGTGCTGGAGGAAGAGTGAAGAGTTTCAAACAGCAGATATCTCATTTCGGAACAAAACGCTCCAACCGCCTTGAGGGAGGTCAAAAGCAAAGGGCAAACGCTCAGTGAAATAAAGGATTATGGGTAATTCCAAGGATTTCAGGCGTTTTCAGCCTGGGACCCACATGAGAGGGAAGCGGTTTCTCTCCCTGGGATTCGGACTAATTGAGACAAACCTGTTTCCTTATTGATGCGTCTACCCTCCACAAACTGCGCCCGTGACCTCTGTCTGGGTCGTGATCCGCAGTTTAAGAAACCTTCAGCCAGGGAGTGAAACATGTGGGATTTAATTCTGAAGTAACTTCAGTCAATTCAGGAACTGGATGTTCTTCAAATTTATAAAACCTAAGCACTCTGTGTGATTCTGCAACAGTTCAGTTTCTATCACGAGATGATTTTTTCACTCTTAATCGGCTGTCGTCGTATTTTGCGTCTCGGCGTTATTGTTTGTTGCCAACAGAGTTTCAGCAACATTTATTCCACCAGGAAACAGTCGATGTGCCACATGGGAAGGCTTCAAATCCCTCTAAGCTGCCTCCTCCTCCTCACGACTGAAGAGGATTTACCAGATGAAATCAATACAGGATGTTTAAGTGGATTCAGCAGGTCACAACATGGACAGAGCAGGTTGTCAACCTATCAGATACCGATATAAGCCAGCAAATCAGACGCTCTGGTACAGCGGTTCAGGTCTTCAGGGTTAATGTATGAATGATCCGCCCTTTGGATCAATTAATTTTACTGGATAATTGTAAGTGGAATACAAGAAACAGCTGAATACACTGAAGTTTGAGGGAAACTGTCACCAAAAACATGGTTTCAGAATTACGATAGTGACGGCGACAGGTTATTGAAGTAATCGCTGGACTACAATCGAGCTGTTCAGGCAGTTCAGAGCAGAGTTTTCTGTGGGAGATGGTACCTTCGTTTTGGCTGGACTTTGGGGCTTTTTCACTTTGCAAACCTGTTACATGCACAAAAAACACTAGCCAATCAGAAGCAGAGAAGGGCGGGTCAGCGAGAAGCCGGTAAACAGCTCGGGTTCAGCAGTACGTGTTGCCGACCAGCTTAGCAACATGGACTGGAGCGAGAGTTTCAGAGCGGTGAGTTATTAATCTGTAACAAAAGGATCTTTCATCCATAAAGTTTTAAATGAGCTCTGTCTCTACATCACAGCAACAACTTTTTTCACTTTGCAAACCTATTACAAAAAAGATTTATAACTCAATAAAGGAGAGGGGAAAAGCGAAGTTTTGTCCGTTTTTACGTTTAATCATTTAGCTGACGCTTTTATCCAAAGCGACTTACAATTGCCATACATGTCAGAGGTCGCACGCCTCTGGAGCAACGAGGGGTTAAGTGTCTTGCTCAGGTACACAATGGTGGATGGGTCACAGTGGGGGATTGAACCCGGGTCTCTCACACCAAAGGCATAGTCTTATCCACTGCGCCACTGCCACCCATATTTTTGTAGGACTTTTGTAAGAGAACAAAACAGCACCAGTCTTTGGTATGTATGCAGGTGTGTTTAACTTTTCCCCCCAAAATCCTCCATGTACGGTCGTCTCTCAAGGGTAAAGGTGGACGTAGTGTTTCTTTCAGGGACCAGGTCGGGGTGGAAAGTCAGCAATTGTGGTTTGCGTTCTGGTCTCCAACAGTCAACGGTGGTTTCTTTTAAGCATGACC